ATTCAACACAATAAATCAGATCTGCAGCAATTAAAATGATAAATGAGTCAAAGAGTTTAGCTCGACTGATTGTTTTCGAAAGGCAGACGGAAACGTATGAATGAAATATCAGGTATTTACGAGTGCCATCTCGTATTTCTCATAAACTCTTTTTTCATCACCTCAACTGCACTTTTCACCACCTCAACTTTCCGGCACGGCTTTAATTTTCGGGCAAGACATTAAATTTCTAACACGACATAAATTTTCCGGCACGACTTTTTCTGGCTAGACATTTAACTTTTTCCACCTGAAGACTCAACACAAGAATCAAGGCGGCCGGTCACCGCTGGTCGATCGCAATGCACTTACTGTAACACTGTTTGGTAAAAACTAAGAATGAATTTGCAATTGGGCAAAGCTAAATTGGATAAGTTTACTCGATCGAATTTTTGCTTAGTGTGCTTGTCTTGCACTCAATTGCAAGGAAATAAATCAGTTTTCAATTAAGGATAAAACACTTGCGTTGACTTGAGTTAGCCTGGTTCTCTGTATCGCTAATGTACTGAGTAGAAGTAAATTCAGACATGGCCAACTCGCTTGTCAACATCTGCATGATTTTGTTTAAACCTGTTCCTACTGATTAGAATAACCGCTTTGTCTTTGTTTCTTTTTGAACCGTCACAAAACTGCTCTACTTATGGCCTTATATGTTAACACAAAACAATTTGATTGTTAACGTCTCCACCAAAGCCTATTGCCCTTAAAAAAAGGTGACATTCAATCTTAAAGTAAACATTTGTAGGTACTGTTGAATAACAGACCAGAGAAAGTCGGAAAAAAAGTCCTGCCGGAAAATTGAAGTCGTGCGGGAAAGTTAAAGTCGTGCCGGTAACTTAAAGTCGTACCGGAAAGTTAAAGCAGCGCCGGAAAGTTATAGTAGTGCCGGAAAATTGAAGTCGTGTAGGAAAGTTGAAGTCGTACCGAGAAAAAACTGAGCTTGTGAAAAATAAAGTTGAGGTGGAGAAAAAAATTAATGAGAAATACGAGATGGCACTAACTCGGCTCCGTAGGTATTCCTAAGAGCATGCGCAGTCTTAAAAGCAAAGTTGCTTTTTGAAAAACTTGAGAGTATCTACGACGATTCAACTATGCGTCGGTTCCCTGCAGCATTAACGATTTAAAAAAATCTGTTTTAACTGGAGAAAATATCAGAGAGAGTAAGAAAAGAGCTATCTATAATTCATTTGCGAGCAGAGTACTTGTTTTGCTTCCGTTGAGGATTATGCTGAGATGACGGAATTCAAATGTTCCATTTTATGTGGTCTTACCTTACACGCATAGAAAAATTTTTTCCCAGCAGATTAAATATTTTAGATATGTGGTTAAAGTATAAAAACGCTTGACGAATTTACAAGTGAGATCAAGAGGAGATGGTGAGACTCTATGGTGAAAACTGAAGCGAGAGCCTTTCCGTATGAGTCCAGGGTAATCGTTCTGTCTCGGTTGCCATAGAAGTTTTCGTCTCCCAGTCCATCTCGGAAATTTCAGCCCGATCAGAAAGCTGAGAACTTAGCCCAGATGCTATACAGAAGTTGGCAAGACACAATTGTAAGGTTCACCCCTCTAAGCGGGCTCGAGTGTTAATATGAGATCATTCGTTGCCCGTTTGCTAAGATCTTGGTCGTATAACCATTGACCAGGGAAAGTTTTATACGTAAAATTGCGTAGAGTGCATTCACACCTAATTAAACATCAACAACCCCCATACACATCTTAGCACCAAATTCAGCTTCAAGGTGCGTTTCGATACAGCTTTTATCTTTTAGTTAATCAATATGCCTTTTCTTATCACCTAACATTGCTATACTAGGGTTTTACGTTAAGGAAAAATTTGTGCAACAATCGATAAGAGGTATGGCATCGATCTTTGGAGGGACTTGAAGGAAGGGCGTGATTATGAGCAACAGTGCTGTCAATAATCTGTTGACATCTGTATGAAGCGCGCGTTATATTAGCAAAACATATATGAAAACATGAGTGAATGACTTATAAATGGTTGCCTGACTAGTGACATAAATAAATTTATCAATTAATTGTTTGATTAATCAACAGGTGAATTAACTGGCTTATCAACAATTTTTCTTTACTAAGGTACAGAGAATTTAATTAAATATAACGTATAGACCCACACGACACACTTATGAATATGAGATAAAAAAACAAAAAAACCATATCTTCTTTCATTCCGTACACTGTGTATTACATTGCCTGAGGTCCGTAGTTCAATAAAAATCTCATTAATAGTAATAATACGTTTTGTAGCGAACTTATGCGTTTGGTTAACAACTAACATGCAAATGCTCGATTTTCATACGTGAGTACTACTAAAAACCGTGATATATTCATGTTTTTAACAACCGATTCGCGCTCCCGATTCCTATCAATGACGGTTTGCTCCATTACAACTTCTTGAAACATTATTGCATATCCAGTTACGTTACAGCAGGGTATGGCCGACTGGTATCACCGGCTGAGAAAATTATCACAAACATAAGCACAGGTAAGACAGTTTCACAAAAAAATTATTACTCTTCCTTTTATTCTCCATTTATAATCTTTTGTATTTTGACTTTAAGTTAACGATTTCCTGATCATTTTATTTTTGTTTTCTTTAAACTAAAGAGGCTTTTTTCTACAAGCGCAACTTAAAAGTTTTATTGCCACGTACGGACACAAGAAACCAGACGTTACGGCACCGAGTCATCAGCTGCGCAAACAACTAACTGGCCATCTCGCTGAGAAAATGCTATTGTTGCTGTCAAGTCCTTTTAAGGCAAAAGGAATAATTATGAACCCTGCTTTTGCTCTTCGGGTAAAAACAACACATGTATTTGCAAAACAAACACGCTTTCTTTCCAAATTGCAATTTAATTGTAAGGCAAATTAGTTAACTTCCTTTGGCTGGAAAATTTGTTTCTCTTTTCCAGAACTTTCGGGACAATGGGGTAAACATTCAGGGGACAAATGCAAGTAGCGCAACGTGACCACGCTGACGTAAAAACGTGAAGCCATGATTGTACATACAACTGTACGCCGAAAACTCAAGTTCAGGTTCGAGGCGACTTAGCTATTCCAACTTGCTGAGCACGTCCCTCTGTTGCACTAGCGAGTATATAACAGGAATTGCTCAAAAGCAAAGGTACATTGTCTTCGAAGACCTAAAAGGAGCGATGTATCAGCTACCTAGAGATAAATACAGTCTTGGAGTATGCAAGGAGCTTGAAAGATCCAATTTTCTCTCAAGCACATTCAAACGTACGATGACGGAGACCAGCGCAGCAGAAATGGCCCCTGATATAGAAAAACAGGCAAGGAACATGTTTGGTAACCGCGAATCACGTTTGAAGCGAAGTAGGCTTATGATCGCAGAAGAGTGCGTCAATAACGATGACGATGGTGCAGCTTACACGCCTGAAGATTTGGTGACGAATAAAAGATTAAGTGAGCCTCTACACTTTGCCCATGCAAAAGGACAGCTCACTTCCGCGAGAAGTTCTTATGTTTGCTTCGGAACTACTTGCCGACCGATGAAAAACATTATGCCGATAAATTTGCATGTGAAAGACATCACAGCAGCTAAGGCATGTTTTCCCGACTTTTTCCCTCAACAACCTTCACGAACCAGTTACGATTCCCTACAATCGTATCCAACCCTGGAAGACATTTTCTCAGGTCAGTTTCAAGTCTCAACAACCCTGAGTGATAGGACACAAACATTTCCAAGAAACAAATATATGTAAATTCGTTTGAGTAGAGGTACTGACGAATTATAATTTGCATCTCTTAATTTGGACTATTTTATTTCATCATATCGAAGAGTTCACGGATATCTTTGTGGTGCTCGAGAATTTCTTCATTCAATTCAACCTAATTTTCTATACTTTCTTGATTTCCCTTGCTTCTCCGACACTGTTTTTCTTTTTCATTTCAGTCATAATAAATCGCTTTGTCATGTAACAGATCAGATCAGCAGAAAACAAATAACAAGTTATTGTCTTTATATGTTAAAGATGCTTTAATAAAAAAAGAGTCTGATAGT